AAAAAAAAATACATAAAAATAAGATAAAACATAAAAGTTATGCAATGTTTACATGAAGGCAATGAAAAAATCTCCAACAACATGAAATAAAAGCATATTTTCATGTTTTGTTCAAAAAGTTTTGAATGTGCATCGTTAATAGTTAAGCTCTTAATTACATTTAGTCTCCTACTTAAGCATATAATAAAGACATCATATGAAATATAGTGAACTCTATGTATAATGCCTGATTTACTAGAAAATACTGGCTTTAAATCAATGTAAAATGTACGCAGTTCCCAAAGAATGTCCCCAGATATAAATGTTGTTTGAACCACAATGACTTCGAGCATAGCGATAAATCTCTTTCGCATTCTCAATCAAACCATCTTCTGATGGATAGCCACTTGAATCACCGTATCCTGAACATAAGAGCAATTTAAATTGAATTATAATGACCAAGTGAAAGATTATAAATATCAAATTCTTAGTTTATATCATATAAATTAAAAGATGAAGAAAATTTTTCTGATTATTTCCATATTTTAGCCGTCACATGAAACAATACATGATGATTACAATGACAAAAATACGACACTGCTGCTAGAAAAGATAGAATAAAATCTAATACCTTGATAATCTATGGCCAGTACGTGGAAACCCAAAGCACTTAAAACGTTGTATAATTTACATCTAACTGACTGCGACCTGTAAAATCTCATCAGTTAAAAATGATTAAGTGGTATTAACCGAACAGCTGGTACAAAACACACAAACTAGTACTGAATTTACCAGAATATTTGCAAAATGTGCCACCAACAAACCTGTCAAATGAATTTCCATGCAAATAAACAATAATTGAATAGTTAAATGTCTCCATCATATGTTCCATTTCATTAGAATTTATGACTGTATCTTTATAGTTTAAAGATAATTCATCGGGTAATATATGCCTTCAATAACATGAGTTACCTGGTTTATATTGAGAGCTTAAAATCTCACTAGTGTACTAGATTTCTCAACTTTAAACAAACAAAACCATAAAACTGTTACGGAACGTAATTTAATTGAAAAGATGTAGTGGAGCGCAATTCACAAACACCAAAGACTAAAAATTTTTCACTCTCACTTTACCAGAAATATGTTTATGAATTGCATGTGCATACTTGTCTCCAACTTCTAGTGCGCAAACATATGAAAACTAGAAATGCTTATAATACTAACCAACAACCAAGCCGCAAACCGTTTTTTCCCACCAGATGAAAATTCCTTCCTATCGAATTAACACCGTGGTAAGTTAGATTATTATAATCTTGAAAAGGAACTTTCACTGAAAAATCACACCGTTTCAATCTTTGTAAAATCATTACTGCATAAAATGTAATATTTATAAACTGTTCCAACAACAGACAGAAAAAGTGTCGTAACTTTCTTCTTTCAAAATTGTTCCCAATGCCCATATCTAACATCATAAACAAACAAGTATAAAGTATTCTTTCATAAATTATTTCAACGATGAACATGCTTTTTTCCATAATTTAACATATAAGTACAAAGCAACGAATACAACCCAAATTGAACAAAACAATCAGGATCTCGATCAAATCAAAAAAAAGGATAACTTACAAAAATTTAGAAAAAACAAATATTGTATGCACTGCGGAAAGAAGTAGGTCAAGAAAGGGAAAAGAAAATAGATCAAGACTGGTAGAAAACCAATTATACACCACCGCAGCATCACTTTAAATCCTGAAAAATAATCATGACGTGAGCGAATAGAACGAATCGACACTTTATTATAAATGATAAATTGTAATATACAAATAAACAAGTCATTTGTATTGCAGTAAACGATTCGGGATAAGCTTTCCAGAAAAATCCTACGGATAACTTTCAACATTACTTCCTCAAGTTAGCTGTCTAGAATACAAATAAAACAGTAATCTGCACCGCGTTTCTTGTCTCGCAAATTAACAGACTGAATCTCCGCATCATTCCTTTACGCTTCTTGCAGCCTCAACGAAAATTTATTCCCTTCTAATCACAACTGGTTTACTTTCTATTTACCAGAAAATGGTATCAACTAACGACTATTAAAATAATCGTAATATTACATTTTTTGCCCCGCTTTGCATTAACACTACCCATCCATCAATGACATGGTCACTTTACAAGTACCGAACTCGCTAATGACCTTGTGATAAAAGACCTATTTAGCGGAGATAAGCATTGCTATCAACAACTTGATTTGTGGACATTCTTAAAAAAACATGAATTTTTATCTGATCAGTAAAAGAATCAGAAAAGGGGCTAGCATAACAAATAAAAATGGAACATTGCCAAACAAAAGTTACAATCAGACATGGAAAAACTCTCTACTTGACTTAATTTCGTTTCCTTCATTACCTAGAGACATGAAATACAATATGCATAATAAATAGTTCAAACTGAAAGAACAGATAATAAAGAAGTTTGTATTTGCCAAATGTCAGGTGATACTTTGAAGTGATAAAAAATGTGTTTAAATACATATATACTCAATTATTTACAAAACTAAGATACGAACTTGACACTGTAGGCTATATGTCCCAATCAAAAATCAAAACGAATACCAGCTTTCCCTTTCTGCTATCCATATCATGTGCCACATACTTTTGTTTGAAAATTACAAACATAAAAACTAACAAGCAAAAACATATTTTTCATCAATTTTTAGACTAAAAGCAACACTCACACTCACAGAGCTTCAACGAATTCTTCGGAATTTTTCTTAAATCAATCAGCTTCTGCGATACATTCAGATGCATGAAAACGAAGAGTTGTGTCGCGTTTCACCAGCTAAAAAAATTGTTACAAACACCATTTATTCAAAAATTACATTTTTCAAACTATAAGTTTTGAAGTCCGAAATTTATACCTCGTTTAATATCATATTATTTTTTACAACTTTAACACCGTATTACTCCCAGTTACTTTTTGAAGCAATTAAATAACAAAATCAGTCAACAAGAAGAAATTTCCCTAGTTCAACTAAATGTGTTTCATGAAATATATTCATAGTTCTTCATATATAATGTATCATGGGTTCAAAATTTAATTTTTGCATTTACATACTCAAATTTTCAATAAAACAAAAAAAAAGTAACTTTTTTCCATCAAAATGTATTGCGCCATTCTCGCTACAAATAAATTCTTATTGAAATGAAAAAGCACGAGAAATTTATCTATCTCCATCTTGACAGGTATATTAAGCAACTATATTACCTTAGTAAAACATGATAGATCTAATCGAGAAAAATAATGTGGCATAATCATTTGAAAGAATTCTTCATAGCACATGTAAGTTATTTATCAATTAAGACTAATTATCAAGAAGCGAAAAAGCATGAGTCACCTGATACATGGAGTTTATCTCTGAAGAAGTACGAATTATAGTAAGGAGATCAGCAAACTGCTGCTGCCTATCTGCTTCCGGAATATGCTGGAAATGTAAAATAAATAGAACATTTTTAGAGCGCTAGTTATGAAGATTCTGAATTAAGAAGAATTATAGTTGAAATATGTATATAGAGTAAAGTCATTAAAAACTTTAACTCATATGCTAACCTGCAATGCAACAACAACTCTGAGTGCTGCTCTACGAAGTTCATCTTGTTTATCATTTTCCTGCTTTACAGCGTTCGCTTTAGTTCTAGCTTGTATTTGAATCTGAAGAATTTACAATTTAATACAATTTGATATGCAACATTAAAAACTCGTATTTTTTATAGAACAGTTTTGTATCATAAACATCATATTAGTATCATAAAATGAATGAAAAAGGATGAATACTACGCAACTTTTAATTCAAGCAGCTGAAGCAGAGTTACCTTTAACGGCTCACAAAGACTGTCAAGTCTTTGAAGCACCTGCGAGGGACATAAAGAAGCTAAACGAGCAAGCATCAAGTAGCTCAGCAACTTAACATCATGGTGATCCTAAAATTTACTATCGTAATGACAAAAATAATAAAAAATTTGCAAAATTTACATAGAAATCAAAAATGCACTTTCATTTTTTTTATTAGTTAAGAACAGATTCTTACTTTCAAACCATTTTCCATGTGTGTGATGAACTCAAAAATATCAAGACGTTCCAAGCATGTTTCCAACAATGTATACATGCTGAAGTTAGATAAAATTATTTATTTTAACACGTAACCAAATTAGAAATATAATTTATCTTTTCAATCCCAGATTAAAGCATACCTACGGTTAGAATAAGGTACATGTACACAATCCATTCAGTTTCACTAGATATTGTAATACTTTATAATGTAACCAACCACTCAAAAGCTGATTTTCGTAAATCAAGTCCATCATCAACAGTATGCTTGAATGGGCCCATTTCAACTTCACGAATTAATTCTTTTTTGATTACTGTTTCACTGTACAAATACGGTAAAAATATCGGCAATAAATCTCGGATCTAAAAAATGAGACAAACATTTCACTACGTGAACAAATAGCTATAAGGAAGTGCATGTAAAGCATGGTAAAAATCTAAAAGAAATTTTAGCGGTCACAACCAAAGTTGAGAATTAGCTTTGCATAAGTAATCTTTAATTGCTTTCATTATTAATTTCAAATAGTGACTGCAATTATCCAGAGCCTTAAAAAAATATCTTTACCTACAAAAATTCAGAAAATTTTTGTTTCATTATTTATATATAATTTTCGACTCACCAGCCGAGGTTTATTATGAGCAGCAGAATTGAAAGTTATTAGTGCTACCCGACGTACGTTGAGATCTTGATCTGTAACAGTTTGCAAAAAATGATCCATCGATGACTGCAACAGATCATCAACAACAGTCCACTGCTCAACAATTAGGAATTTCACTGCTGTCACGGCAGTAGCACGCATTAATGGATTGGACGAACTGACGCATCTCTAAAATCTTCCCCTTCAATCTCTTCATTTCTATCTTACCATTTGTTTAATTCAAGTGATCCACATATTCATTTCAATCATTAGAAAGAGCCAGAAGCTAAATTAATGGAACTAGTGCATCCCGATACAAAAGATACTAATGAATATGAAACAAGGCGAAATACCTTGAGTCGCTGTAACAGCTGCTCTGGATTAACAAGACATAATTTGCCCAAACACTCTGCAACAACGTTTCGTGTGCCTTCTTCTGAAGCTATGGCATGTGTCACCAAAACTGGCCAAATTTGTTCAATTCTGGGGCGGAAAATTTCTACAGCTCTAGAATCACCACTTTCTGCACCAATCACCTGTTAAATTATAAATAGATACATATTTAGAAAACACGAACAGTAATTGAAAACTGATTTAGCTAAATTGGATTATGTAAAAATATGTATTATTAATCTAACCTCTTTCAGCGCATGCAATAAAAGATATTGTCGCTTTGGTTGTGAGTTGATTTGTTCAAGCAAAAATGGTAAATATTTTTCAAGATCGCCTAAAGCAAGCCTTCCCAACGCGTAAGATGCAGCTGTTTTCATCTCCTCTGCTGTTGTATTGAAAGCATCCACTAACAATTCTTCAGGTCTGAAATAAATCATTGGTCAAGATAAAAAGAAAAAATTTTTCTTTTCCACAAAATCATTTTCTACAGAACTGTTCTCAGAATGCATTACAGAGCAAAGCTATGCAGCTCATAAAATGTGAAATATCTTTCAATCTTCAAAACTGACCAAAAAATAAGACTAAAAACACACATACTTTGGAGCAAAAATATCGAATGTTCGCGGGCATGTGCAACCCAATTCACCAATTGCTAGAAGTGAAAACAATCGTACACCATCTGTTGCTTCATCTGATGCCACCTGATCTGATAATTTCTTTGCCAAATTACGACAACGATTCAGCTCACCAGATGCCGAAGCAACTACGGCGGTGCATGCTGATATGGAGCGATAAGCTTGACGATGAAGCAACGATTTTTCGTAAACCGGTGCCGTTAACTGATCCAATAATACCTGGAAAATAATTAAATATTTTTTCAGAAAATTGGGGAACTTATTCAAGATGTTCAGAAATTTTAAAATTTAATATTATGACTTGGAATAAAGATTTTTAATGTACTTCAAAAGATGGTTTTTGGGGGACTTCAGTCTGAACAAGAACTGAAATGAAATTCAAAGATGCTGTCAGTGTTGCACCCTGAAGTAAAGAACTTTGTAAGAGATCCACATATGCCGAAAGTATCTGTGGTAAACTGAACGATACAATTGTTGGCTCTATAGTCATCAAATCTAAAATAACAATTTTTTCTTACTTTCGCATGAAGCCTAGTAAGAAATGAAACTTCTTGAAAAATGCAAAAAACAACAGTTATTAGCAGATCTCAATAAAATAATCAAGTCGCAATGAACATTCAAATAGACAGAATGCTTCAATATTTTCAAAGGGTGCGGAAATCATAGCAAATATTGTAAGAATAAATTTACATGATTTCGTCATATTACTGATTAAGTGAATAACACTTACGACTAAGAAAAGTAAGAGTTAACTGGCTAATTTGCAGATCCAATTCAGAAATCAAAGCCGGCGTTTCTTCTAATACTTTCCTTATTTCATAACCATTCAAGCCACCATGCTTGTAATTTGTGACCAAACAATCAAGTAAATTCAATGCCGAAATCTAAAGTTGACACCAAAAACTCTAGTTAAATAGATGCCAAAATACGAGAAATTATGATAGCGAAAACAGTGAAAATACACTGCAATATCACTGGATATACTGTATCGAACAAAGAACATTACATTAATTATAAAAACAAAAATTTTTAACCTTTAAAGCTCTATGATTTTTGCGCAAATACTCTGCCAGTAATAACAACGAATCTGATATGATGAACTGCAAAGAAACTGATAACGGACTGTTCACAATTGTTATCAATGCTTTTATTGTAACAAGACGAGTCATTTCATTGCGTAAACGATCCAAGAATATCGGTAAGCAGGCTGGTAACTAAAAAAAATACTCAAATAACTGAATACTACGAAAGTGTGATCAATAATTTTACGTGAAAATAACAAGTAAAAAATGTGAAATAATATCAGTGAAAAAATACTGTAATCAGAACTTGTTCTGCAGCAAGTAAACAGTTTCCTTAATGGCATTATTTTTACCTTGTTTTCCAAAAAATCACCAAAAGTTGCAATAAGGAGACCTGCTGCCGTTATAGCTTTTTCCTTCACTTCCTGAAAAATGAATAAAATATATTCATAGGCGAAGTTAAAAGAAGATGCAAAGATAAACAATCTGCTGTTCAGATGGCTAAAGTTTTACATCTTTCGATGGATTTTTCAGCAAAAAAAAAGTAAAAAAATTTCCATTCATCTCTTTTATGATTTATGAAAAAATCAAATAGCTGAAAAGCTTTGATTATTTACAATCGAACATGAATAAGATTAATTACAAGCTTTTACTTTGTCACAGCAGCCTTTATAGCTTAGCTTTTCAATTCTTCTCATTCTCTGATTTGAGCTTCAAGACAAGTTCTCAATGACTTTAGCAAAAAATGTTTAAAAAAAATTACTCAACTTTTGTTTACATTATACGTTGAAAACAGCTGCACATAAATATTAACATAAGCCAAATAAGTGAACCAGAAACAGACTATCGACTGTACTGGCAAAACAAAAATAACAATAGATACCAAAAAATCTTAGAACTACATGAAATAAAAGTAGCAGCAAGGACAAGTAAATAAAATAAAAAATGAATATGATAAATGGTAAGATTTTAGCACCACGGAAAAGTCAAGAAATTAATTGAAAAATGACAAATGATAAGGTCTTCGTACAGCTTTTTGGATACGACTATGAACCAATAGATAATAATACTTATCGAAAATAAATTACAATTTAAAAATTTTTATTTGGTGTTATCAAAAACATTGCAATGATAATAATTGAGAATATTTATAAAATCATTATACTTGGTCAATATCTGTTGCTTTCAGTTTGCCGAATATTGCTTCATAAAGACTATTTATATAGGTCGAACAATCAAAGCTGTCATTTTCATAAGGTATAGGACGCAATACACGAATTAACGACGTAGTAACTGTTAATGCTTCTGCTGTAAGTTTATAAAATTGTTCACTCACAGCTCGCACAATGAGTGGTACCAATATACCCATATGCACACGTAGTTTCTAAAATTCAAATTTTAAGAAACATAGAAGAGGCGTTTGTTTTTGAATTTTCGGTACGTATCAAATTTATTTTCTAAACTGTTATCCTGAGCTAATTACCAGCTTTTTGAATTATTCTACATCGACAAACGTACAATTTTCAAGTAGATATATAAATCTCAAGAAAAAAAACTTTCAAAAAGCTAATACATGAATACTGTAAATCACCTCTGGTGGATGAGTGCATAATGCTGCTGACAGAAAAGTCAACGTATCGATTTTTACATTAGTATTCAGGGAACGATCATTCATAGCACTTGATACTCCAGCCATCAAAAGATACATCTCATCTCCAAGCGCACCCGGATACGCTCTAAGAAGTAATATTTTGAAATAAAAGAGTCCGACAGGTAAAGATTATTATGTAAAAATAGTCTGAAAACCAAGAATATAATGTAAAAATAGTTCAGAATCAGGAAAGGCAGAGGTCGACAAACCAACTTTAACAGTTGGGTGAGCAAAACGAAACAATATTGTTTTGTTTTCAATGTCTTCGTATTCAGCTGCTGGCTCACTGCCTTGATAAGCAAGGGAATCTGTGAATCCAAAGCCTGAAACGGAGTTAGCAATCAAAACGCTGCTAAACCTTACTTAGATCGTAGTAATTTTATTTTCAAAGTAAAGAAATTATAGATCAGTAATAATGAAGTCTCACTCATCAATGTAAAATTAACAGAATACAAACTCACAATCCAATTTCTTATCGATTATTAACAAATAAATTGTGGCAACAAGTGTACTTAAATTTCATACTTCCGATTACTACATTTTGTTGTATTACTCTTCCTTATGCTTCGAGAGACTTGATAACAATTAATGTGGAAAGATAAAAAACCTCCAACGTTTCCAGCTGCTCAGTACTTAGCAAATTTTTGAGTACTATACCACCTCTAACCACAATCGTCTGCATATCACCACATGCATTTGATTTGACACTACCATTTTCCTCTGACTGAAATGGACACAAAAAATTATAAAGTAGGAAGAACACCAACAAAAGCAAATAAACTAATACGACGGTGACACAGCGAAAATTAAGATGATGAAAAATTATTTCCTCAAATTTTTTGGATTGCAGCTGAACTTACAACGCATATTTCCGAGAAATTTGGGATGAAATTGCGAAACTGCGAAAGCAATGCAGTATATGAATGCATTATTTCCCATTTCACATTATCTTCCCGTTCCTTGAAGCGATTAATCAGAAGAGGTCCAAACGAAGTCAGGTATTTAACGATTTCATCACGACGCGATAAAATCTGCAGCAAGTTTGATTTCGGAGTTGTAATACCGGTTTAAGATTAAAAAGTGCAATATATATTAACATGTATTAAATACTTAACAGTTACAAAAATGTACATAACTTTTCCTTATATTATGTTCATTACGACTGCAACTTATTTACAGTTTCCAAGCCTGAGAACCCAATTTTTCTCACATAAAAATTAAGATGCTCAGTAAAAAGCTCATAAATGACATGACATGAAGCAGTGAATTCTATGAATTTTCAAACATATTATTTTATACCACAGCAAAAAATGTTTCATCAAAAAAACGTACGAGAGCTTCAATGCACTTAGCGGATGCTCGGCGTACTTTCCAGCTCAGATCATCATCATCTGAATATTCATCTCCATTGTCATCATCATCATCCGTATCACCTATATTTGTTAAAAGCAAATAACTCTCAAATTGAGAATCAAGCTAAACTAAAAGTGCTTAAAACTTCTAAACTGAGAAATGAAAAATTCATTTAAAAAGACATAAAATTCTTAGTACACAATCTTATTAAACATGGAAATAAATTATTTGATACAAAAAGTGCAAAACGATATACGTATATACATGGCTTAAGACGAGCACAAAAAAAGATCGCTGTTAACTAGATTAAAAAAAGTAATTCAAGAAATTTCACTTTTCTTATCAAAATGAAAAATTATTAACAAATTTTTATTTTTTTATACTTGACTGCTTCCGATTCTTGATAACCTCTTTCATCTCAAACCTAATATAATTCGACTTAGATATTTTTTGAATAAAAATAAATATTTGATATAGCATACCATCTGTATCCATTTGAGAAATATTGTCCATTTCTTCATCTTCATCATAAGTATAATTAGGATCGTACTTTAAATAATTAACCACTATCTCAACGATCCTTGGAATAAATAGCGTTACTTCACGAGGACACCGATAGACAAATGTTTCAAAAGCCTGCAATTAATTTGCATCAATGGATTCAATTTTCATAACATTATTTTTGCTTTAAAAAGAAACAAAGAGAAATTATAAATAAGAAAGCATAGTAAACTACAAAAATCTTTTTTCTTCAGATACCGTTATAGTCCTTGTATTGTAAAACCTACCTGAATACAGGATTCCCGGAATTCATCATCATCTGTAGTTGTTGCATATTTTAATAATAATGGAAGCATTCTTGATAAATGCTTTGCGAAACGACGACTAGTAGTTTTGCACACACTCTGACATGTCTGTACTATCGTACGAATTTGCGTAACGGATGCCTACCAATAATGTTCAATCAATTATTTGTTAAGACTAATTGAATATAAAGCTTTTAGAGAGGACGACAGAAAATAATCTTGCAAACAAAATAGTTGAAGAGATCATTACTCCATTCGAAAGTTGATGGACAATAACATCCATTGTTTGTCCATAAAGTGAAATATCTGCAAGGGCAAGCATGTTCGATAACGCTGCAATGGATCGTTTTCGAAGAGCTTGGCGATCGGAAACCAGTTGTTCAAGTAAGGCTTCTTGAAACTAAAAAATTTATATGTGGCACAAAGAAGAAGAAAAAAAGGCAGAAAAATATAAAAATAGGACGAAGATTTTATTCATGCTAATATATTTTAGAGGATTGGGTTTTCCTTTCTGTTTTTCCTATTATAACAAATCAAAAGGATCAAGATACTCTGCTGATATCAAAGAATGTCAAGAATCATGCAAGAAAATTTAGCAAAGAATCCTAAGTTTTCAACATTTTTATTTTTAGACAATTATTGAATCTTGCAAAATATGCTTTGCATTCCGTGAAAACGAACCCCTTTGACATAAGGAGTAAATAATGATCCATAACGAGAAATGATGTCAGAGATAATGTCAATTACTTCAAGTTTTACTGATATTTCGACACCGTTCGTATCTACTGCAAAATTATTTGAAAATCAGTTAAAAAAATCTTATAGACCTTCGCAACTGTCTCAAAACTGTTACAAACTGCTTGGTGTAATCCATGATAAACGCTTACACAATGCATCTCTCAGCGGTGGAACTAATAGCTTGATTACTGCAATTGTCAATGGAGAACTTGCAACAGGCAACTCGGCAACGACAGTTTTCAATGCAATCGAAGAAACATCTCGCAATTCTTCATCGCCATTAATCATTGTTTGGCAAAGGTGGGCAAATATAGTTTGTACCTAAAATGATAAGTACTATCCATAATAATAAACACACCCAAAATTTAAAAACTGCACAATTTCATTTTATTCAATTTTTAAGCAAAAGCAACATCTGAACAAACTCTAATTAGAAATACCACGAAGAAACAAAGGTGGCAAGTTGGTACTACAGAGTTACCAAATACCGCAAAATAGAAACTGTTTTTAACTAACATTGGAAAGTATCTCGCAAATTCTTATGTAATTGTAAGCATATTTTATGCATTACCTGTGCATCTTTTACTTTGTGTACAAGTGGTCCTAAGCATTTCACCGCCAAGTTTTGCACTTCACCATTTTTGTCTTCTAACAATTTTACAACCATATTTACCATCTTCAATCATTAGTTCCATTATATATGAATAATCAAAAATGCCCAAACTTACATTAGAAAACTGCTTTCTTATACTGAACAATTCATACCTAACTGCACAGCTGAACGATTCATCCGAATTATATTAAACTACACATATTTCATGCCTGAGTGACTAGGTAAACATAAGACTGACAGAAACTTAATTTTATTTTCAAATATATGAAAGTTTTTTGCAAAAAAACGCTTTCAGAAAATATATCGATTTATTACTTGAAATTAAAGCAATATTTTATAATATATTTCCAACTGGCATAAAATTACACTTAAACATATGCTCTCAAACATAGCATGGGTGAACCCTGAAAGCTAGGGACAAAAAAATGATACTTGAAAAAAATTATCTTAAAACATGAAAAAAAAGAAGTAGCAGTACCCTTCGTTCGGATTCATCATCTAATTTGACACTGTCACTTTGCAACTCTAAAATCAAATCATTTGTAGCCATAAAGCGATAATCCTTATCCGTCGATGACATCTTTTCTAGCAAACTTGTAATTTTCAACGCCATCTTCCCAAATACTACTTTGGCGTCTAGTATTCAAATTAAATACCTAAAATTGAATCACGAAAAAGTGCAACAACTTTTAATAAATAATCTCTGGTTGCATTCCGACTAATCAGAAAACTGAAGTAATCAAAGTTTCATCGATTCCTACTAAACTAATGAATCAATAAAACTCATTCCAATAAATCCTGCATGAGATTAAATTAAAAACGAATCAATGCAATTAAATGAACGTTGAAAATCAATAAAAGTGAACATTAGAATGTTTGAAGAACAGAATGGAATGCCAACATTTCAGTGCTAGACTTTCTTTTTTTTAAAAGCAGCAAAACTACACTGAAGTAAAAATAAAAGATAATTATGTGATTGTTTCCAAGCATACTTTTCAAATAAAAGTAAATGAGTATTAGTTGAAAACAGCAAAACTGTAATTAGTCAATAACTTAAGTTGCACATAATGAAACAACTAACAACTCTAGTGAAGTAAAATAATACTGTAAAGTACATCACCAATTACACTAAAAATAACGCTAATAAAATAATGACAATATTAATGATGACAGGAATAATAGTTTGCAATTATAACCATGTCTGTGATACGAAATTAAACTATTTTCATTGCTCGCAAACGATTCTTTACAAGGTAGTACTCAAGAGTAAACTGCGGAGATCATTTCTTACTTGCAGCGTTAATTATCTGCCAATTTTTATCATGAAAATGATCGCGCAACTGCCAAGACAAAAAAGAAATAAAGAAGACCCAACAATTTAGTATAAATACTTCTCGAACTTCCAGAAGCAGCCTTCTAACTTGAAATGTGTCAGAAAATAGAGACAATGTAGCTAAATTTCTCATAATCAACTTCACTGAAATCAATAAGATACTATGATAGAGATGTGTCACTTTATTAGGAATATTATGAAAACTGTACTTGACATCTTTCTCAATCCTTGTTTTGCATATAAACCTGTCTTTGTTAATGGGCACTACAGAAATGAATATTTTCTTGACTTGGTCTTCTCATGTAAAAGTTTGCAACAGCTTATATTTCGCTTTTGCAGATGTAGTATTACTCTCTTATATTTTTTGCTATTACAAACTCTGTACAAGTCAATCAAATTCGCTAAGAGTTGCATGAAATTAGTTAGCTCGTTGTGCTAACAAAATCAGTCAGTCACCTGACTTTTCTGTAAATAATGTCGTTATGATCACCAGCTCTTTACATTTACCAAATTGTTCTTACTTTCCCAATCATGGTGTTAAGAATATTACTAGCTTCATCTTACTAGTAAGAATCAAATCAAGGAGAGAGAATAAAAAATGTCTTTGGACAATTAATTCTGCACTGTAGAATTTCGAATCAGCATAATAATTTTGCAAACTTAACGATATTATTTTTCATCAGACCAATTTATGACATACTTTTTGATGTAAGAGTAAGATCCGCAAGCAGTAAGCTCATAATTATACAACTGCGGTCAAAGCTATACATTTGACATTCAAGTTAAGACAAAAATCTTGATAAGGCGACTCAGTGTATTAAAAATTTTTGTTTCGTATTCCGTCGGTAATGATTTTCTTTATCGAATATGATGCAAACATTTAAATTCCTACCGATAAGTGAAAGAGTGCATTAAAAATCAACTCACCAAGTTTTAACTCAGACATTTCTAAAATTTCCGGACTTTATTTGTGAAACCACAAGCACATAAAACGATAAAGACATATGAGAGAAAGTTCCAAAATCATCTCAGCTGTTGATTTATTTTGCTCTTATGACGGATTTCAGGCGCAAGATGCTCAAATGGTGGGAGATAGATGAAACGCGCGAATGACATATATAACGAACCTGCAATATAAATAAAATTGTACACTCATTTAAGTGCATTTGTTCCGTTATTGAAGCTGATACTCGTTGTGAGCTGTGACTAACTGAATTTTGGAAGTAGCGGTTTTAATAAGGCATCTGATGGAAGAGTAAAATCATATGCTACTTTACAAACCCTGCCATGAAATTTATATTAGCTTACTGTATCAACCATCTGTAATTATTCAAGAATTTTCAGTCTTGTAATAACCGTGAAGAAATTAAAATGGACTACAGTTATTCAGTTCAGCTACTAGCTACAGTTATTCAGTTCAGCTACTAGCTTTTTATACAGTTATTCAGTTCAGCTACTAGCTGAACTGAATAACTGTATAAAAAGTCAAACTAGATGGATGGAATAAAAAGACTATTTTATGATTGCCAGTTTTCAAGGAATATGTTTTGAACAACCACAGTTTCAACGGAACTGAGGGAGTTGGTAAAATGACTTGGTAAAGGAAACTAACCAAAGGCGATGAGACGTAAAGGCAATTTTTTGTAAAGACTGCCAGCATAAACAGTGCTTCGAGTGCAATACCACATATATGAAGCAACGAATAAAAATAATCCTGTACCGACATATCGACAAGATCGGCAATCAAGAGTGGCAACTTCAGTTTCTTCTCTTTCCATCATTAATCTGGAGTATGAGAATATAAGATCACCTACGATTGTAGAAACATTTTGTTTTTATATTGTTGCTTACATTTCAAAATTTTTTGAAAAGTACGCATTTGAGAGCAAGATAATGAATTTGCGACTTATAATTGCAGCATTTCATATGGAGGCTTCGACAAATGTGCCAAAACATTTACTCACGCAAGCGCAGAACAAGCAACTTTTAATTTTAGAAAGCTATCAATATTGTATTGAATTGCATGAAAAAGATATATTAATCGCTCTTCATAAGCAGAACTTTTACATGATTCGCAAAAAAAACTTAATTAATAACACAGGAAACAAGAACAATAATATAGAGTGAACAGTATTAAACAATACATCTTTCAGTGCATTTAGACGATTATAAAAGAAGTAAATTTTTTGCACAAATCTGTGCAGATTGAATGATCAATCTTCCAAGTTCGAGAAAGCAAGTTAATCGCACATTAGTTACCAAAAATGAAATATGTCAAAAAGTGAAAGAGATTTCAATTCAATTCTGTAGATGCGGTCTTATGAACAATCTTATGCAACTTTTCGAAATGCAAAATTGAGATAAAATACTGACATATGAGGCTTTCACAAACTAGTCTTTAAGATCGATTTCATCGCATGTTACAGGTTGTTTTAACGATATCATCGATTTTTTTTCTGGATCTCTCGATAATGCTTTCCGCATATCTGGAAACCATGAAATAAATATAACCTTGACGATAATTCATATTTTAAATGAAAATACAAAAACTTTTCAAATGTTGGTATCTGATATAAGTAAAATCAATGCTGCATATTTGAAAAATGCTTAAAATTTTGAAATTAAACAAACCAAAAGCATCCTCTTCTTTTTCGCCGGAATAATAATCAATTATTCGCCTGTACACCACATAACCAAGGCTCTTGTACATACTGATAGCCACAGCATTACTTACACGAACAAAAAGATCCACAAAATAACACTTTTTTCTAAAATTTTATTGAGAGAAACAAAAATTTTTAAAAACCTTAAAATCAGAGAAAAAACTTTCATCTAAATTTTTTCAAGATTTTTAGTGCATCGTTTTGTTCAAAAGTAAGTAAAAATATAAGAAACACAGATCAACAGTTTTCATAAATTCCAGAAAATTACAGTGACTGTCACTAAAGCTCCTGCTCACAGGTCTAGCAAAAAGAAAGTTGTCTAACAGTGATAAAAAATCTTACAGATGATATAAAAGTATATATAAAATAAACAGATCAGATGTACGCTAGCAACGGCATAAAAAATTATTTTATAATAGTAAAAATTCTAAATATACTTTTCTGATATTTCTTCTAAGATACTCATCATACGTGCTGCCAAATGTAATCGTCTATACGCAGGAGCGACTGTTACAGCAGTCACATGCCCATGCCAGTATTCATGCTCACCTTCTGCTTTACCCATAACTATAATGAATTTGCAATTTTAATGCTTTTTCAAGATTAATTGTTCAACATCTTATCATTTTATTTTCAGTGAGCGATTTCAGTCTAACACCTTATTTAATTTAAATAATAACGAAATACTACTAACAAACTAACCTCTCTTGTTTATATTAAGACTATAACATCTGTTTCATTCTAATACCAAAACTATAAAATAGTGGACGTTTTGGTATAAAGGTTTTCAATTCATAAATGATGAGACAAATTCACATAAAATGTGTTATAACATTCACAAAACCTTTATCAGATAATTTTAACAGAACTAACCATAACCCATTATTTCACCATTCGGATGCTCACATACTTGAAAATATTCACCGTGATTGATCAAATATTGTAAATAAAATGTGAAACCATACTGAAAGCTTATTTTTATTTTCTAAACATTATTCTGAAATAAATGATCAAAATACAGATTCAAAGTGTCAGAGAAATCAAGAAATGAAGAAAACTTGATTGAATATATATAACTTGAAGTGATTACTTTATACTTCACAATCAGAAATTTGGTAGTTAGAAAAATTAAATTATCTAGTGGTTCAGAAAGCTACTTCATAGTGATTTGAAGCTCTTGAAATTTTAAAATCATCATGAAACCACATCGAAACAAGAACATACCGTTTCTGTTAGTGGATCCAGATTACTGAAAAAGGAACAACGTATTCATGCGTGCAAGCAAAAATGCTAATATCAGTGAATTAAAACCATTTATAAAATTTATGTGATTAAAATTTTTATCGACTGAAACGTTTTCTTCATAACATAATGTTTAATTTATAGCCAAATACTTGCAAACTTAAAGTGACAGTAGAAACAGCAGAACTGGTGAGATAAGAAAACGGGAAAAAAATTTCTTTCCATCTTCAAATTTTACTATGATGTGAAAAATAGAACGCAAAATAACTCGAAAAGATGAATAATTTGGATTCACTTCCTCACCATCATTCAAATTGCAATCAACAAATTATAAAAGTTTTGCCTGAACTGAAGAAATTTTATTAAGGAAAAAACTAACGTATTATTGAATCGAAATAGATCGAATAAATCAAATGGCCTCATTGTAGTCATTTTATTTCTAAAAAGAGTTTAATTATGAACAAATAGAATCTTTTCGCAAGATACTCCACATCCAATTTTGTCAAACATTCAACGAGCTACGGACTGATACCAGAAAATGTTAGTTGATTGCTCTATAAGCAAAAGTCTATCGAATATTTCCAAATACCGTCATTACGATACTTCAATGCTAGCATAACTTATATTTCTGAGTCATTGTAGAGCACTGTTTGACTTATGTTTAGACTTTTAACGAAAATAACTGCAAATTCTACAGTCCCTAAAAAGACTACTGTATGATGCAGAAATTAAACCAAATTAATAAAGTGACAAATCCAAGTTAATGCTCACCACTAGTGTTAGAAGTATGAGTAAATGACAAACCCACAATGAAATGCTTGCAAAAATAGCAATTTTTCTAAAATAAAAACAGCGTATATAAACGCGGTGTTAAAAGATAACAATGCAGTAGAAATGGTTTTATTAATTGATAGATTACATTGCAAATAATTCCGACTAGTAATGCAGTCATACTTTTACTATACATGACAGCAATTCTGAAGTCACTCAAAATTAATTTTGACAAGAAAAATGCTTAGAAATCATCCGCTGAAAATTCTCGGTAAGGTATGCCAAAATTCCGAAAGGCAGGAACATATTTCTTCAAATAAAACATAAATTTCCAATCAACTGCCTCGCCTTCTGGTAGCTTTCTCGCTTCCAGACTATATCGATTATACAACACTAAAAATGATGATAAAAATGAGTCCAACACAAAACAGCAATACACTAAGAGAATATGCTTTGTTTTTTCTGATCTAAAAATGCTAGAAAACAAATTGAGTTTAAAACAATTGGAGCCAGCGTCAGTCCATAAACACTTACCTAAGACAATCGACAACATTCCTGCTCCACAAACAAAACTTAAGATCGGTGTCCTCATATTTTCTGACCTGTACTGATTTGGATATCGCTTAAGAAACCACCTCACTTCTTTCATTTTTATTTATAAACCCTAAAATGTAAATCAAAATTTTGTTTTCTTGAGACAATGCTATATGTCTACGACACAAATTTATGAGTGCACTCAAATGATTTATATCAGATATATGATTGAAAAATTTAGCAACTGTATTACTTCCCTTCAAACAATAAAATGTGTAGAAAGAAAGGCAAAATTATTGAGAATTCCTTCATACTCATAAATTTCGATATAGATATCAACTACAATACAACCATAACAAATACCAATCAAAAAAACAGAAAATACTATGCAAAAATAATATTTCACGTGAGATACTTTCTGAACACAAACTACATACGACAAAGAAGGTACATATTTTGGAAAAAAAATGAAAAAAATTAATTTTAATATTACCTTTACATAAACAATAAGATACTTCTTTGGATAAATTATTTGCTATATTTCAAAATAAAACTGTAAACAATTTTTAGGTCACTCTCCAACCATTTTTTACCGCATCATTAAATCATATATCAGAACTAAGATAAGTTCGTCTTTAGCCACTTCACATGTTCTAAATCATGTCGATGTTCTCGCTCTTTCATCATGAACTGATACGAATAGTAGAGCACGTCATATACTACAATTTCAGTTCAAATTTAGATTTGCATAATATTTTAATGCAATCAAAATATAAATTTCACCGCTAACTTTATCGTTTGATTACTGTTAACCAGAAAAACTAGCCAAAAAGCTATTTCTGTACCACAATTGACTTTGAAATAATTATAAATAAACGAAACAGTACAGTATTTTAGTTTAAAAAGATCGTTAGTTTTTGATAAATTTATCGAAAATAATAATGTACCAATTACGAGTTTTACTATTGTTTTTATGCAAAACGGGCCTCCTTTTTCTATAGCTTGGAATTGCTGGAACCATCGACGTTTACGAATATTATTGGGGTATAACTGACAATATCCATAATAATCTCCAACTTCTTTGCTATTTTTTCCATACATCTATGTCTACAATGAGAAACAATGAATTGCTTGGTTCAAAAAAATATATAATACGGAGACTATTTCAGATTTTTCACATCTCAACTAAATATTCAGCATAGAAAAGTCATGAAATATAAATAGTGAGATTTATGATGTACAACCTGAAATATTGATTATGCAAGCCAAAGATTGTCCTAATGCTAAAATTTTATAAATTATATCTTTTGGTACTGAAAACTTTTTGATGTCCAGCGATGACCAGTAAAGAAGATATATATGTGATTTGCAATCATGGAGTTGAAAATATTTAATCACATTCTAAATTATTAGCATCAGATCAAATTAGAGACATACCTTAGAATATAATTTCCTGATTACGATGACACTGATGATTGCTTTTTTTCACTAACTATGCCCCAATTGTACTGAATAATGCCGACAACTGAAAGATAAGTGCCATTTTTATTTTATTTATGCTCAAAACTAAATATAAAGATGCCTTTTTGATCAAGCACTATAAGAATTCTTTGAGTAAACTGAAAATTTATGATAAGTTTTTTCTTTCGCAAAGCAAGTTAAATTGTAACGGTAAAGAGAAATTTTCAAATATATTTTACTCACTATAGTAAAATACAATCAAGTTCATCAAGAATGTTTTCCTAGAAGCCAAAATCTGAAGAATGTGAAATCAAAATAAGGACGAGATAATATTTTGCTGAATTATCACATTTGATGATCAGTAATAGCTTGGAAAATTTGTGATAAAGTCTTTTCTTTCGCAAAAAAAGCTACTGATTTACGACTGATTTCCATGCAACTGCCGAAATAATTCCCAAAAACAAAAATTCGATCTTACGTGATGCGACGTAGAGTGCAATAAAGCTGATATTCTTATAACGCGGCCACGTATTATATAATCTCGAACCCAGAAGTTTCCTCAACATTGAACTTAAGGAAATAGCACACACGAAGCAATGAAGTTTACATTTATTGCCAACAAATACCGAATGAGGTTTAAGACATTCTTTATTTACAGAATGAATTAAACGGATACGGCAGTTTGCAATATTCGTTTATATCTAAGTAGGTAGGGCTATCTATTTTGAATTCTATTTATGATAAGTACTGGCTGTTGCTAGTTTTGAGTGCTTATAAAGTTTAAGTGGTCTTTTGTCTTTCTCTTATCTGATATTAACCAGTTACTGATTGATTTAAGCGTACAGCACTGATTACATGAACTTTAGGTAACATTTTAAAGTTTTTATGGTAATTAAAACTTATTTCAAGATGCTTCTATAAAATATTACAACATCAATATCATCTTATATCATTCATTTTGTTTAGTCATTTATTTCATTACTATTATAATACTTAGTTCAATTATATTCCCCCTGTTTTTTAATTTAAGCGCGAAAAGCCGATGTATTTTTGTCACATGCTTTTAGTAATGTTTCATTCAATATGTGCGATAATGCAGTACATCTTTACTTCTAGAATTATTTTGCTTGCCTTTATCTGGTCAGATTTTGGTTGGTGATTGATGTTTTTTTCTAATGTTTTGTGATCTACTCAAGTTTTTATTTTTCATTGTTGTAAATGCTGTAAGAACGTTTCACAGGAAGCAATCTTTTGCGTATATTTTTCCATACATGTTTATAAAAGAATTTTTTAGATTTGGCAATTAAAATGGCTGCAAGTGATCATCCAGAAATGGAAACAGATGAAACATCACTAGCTGTTACGGCGGGAAGCCTTTCTTGCAAGGAAAAAAAACGCTTTGAAGTCCTTATTTTTTCATTATTTCATTGTACTCTAGATCTTATTAATTTCTTTCACCAAATAGTATTATTTATTTAATATCTAGTCAGTAATTAAAATTATTTTCTTTTACCGGTTTGGAGTCATCAATTTATCTTCCAGTCGAGCATTTCATATATTAAAGTGTATAATTCAATTCAGCAGTACACCAGTTTTTTGATAGGCCTTCTTCCGAATTGTTTGTATTGTAATTTGTACATTTTGTGAATTCTTCTACTTTTAATAGGTTAAAAAATGGAACGCTGTGGCTTTATGGGCTTGGGATATTGTTGTTGACAATTGTGCAATTTGCAGAAATCACATAATGGATCTCTGTATTGAATGTCAAGCTAATCAGGTAAATCCTTTACCTATAAATGCTTACTGCTCTTGTCTTTTATTTTTTCTCCTTCACAAAAGAGAAAAGAATACATGTAGGAGCAATAAGTACAGTTAAGAAATATGTTACAATTAAAAAGTCGCCTCAGTGCTTCTTTATTGTAAAAGACTAATCATTAAAATTTCTCTTTTTATCAGTTAAAAGTTACGAAGAATTGTGCTAACTGAAATTAATAGCATAGTTTTTATAGGCATCAGCCACTTCTGAAGAATGTACAGTTGCATGGGGTGTATGCAATCACGCTTTTCATTTTCATTGTATCTCACGCTGGCTGAAAACACGTCAAGTTTGTCCTCTTGACAATCGCGAATGGGAATTCCAAAAATATGGTCATTAAGGGTGTCACTGCTCACCAATTTTTCCTATTTATCATTTTGATGACGAATGTATGACTTTTACTAATTCACTTCCAATTGATTTCATGGATTCTTTTCGTGGTGATATGCAAGATGCAAAAACTAAATGAACTGAAGTTATCCAGAAAAAGCTTACTAAAGAATAGTTGCGTTCACGGTCATAGTAAAAATTTGTTCTCATAACTGTTCTCAAAATTAAGTATAAGTTATTGGAAGGGAACGAGCATGTATGGCAATTTGTTCTTTTGATTAATTTTATATATTCTAATTAAGTGAAGCCTCTTTCATTTTTGTAATTGTATTGTTTTAAAGTCACAAACTATGTTTGGTTCGTTTTCTGTTTGGATTCTTTCATCAATTCAGTTCAGTTCACAGATTATTTTTAGCCACAAGATTGTATGATGCTGCGTAAAGAATTTATTTTTGGTATATGCTTTCAGCATTTCTAAAGCGATTTCAGTTGATGAAGTTGAAGAAGCCATATTGCAAGC